TAATATTTATTTCCTCTTTTTGTCCCACTAAAAGAACAAATGATATTCAGAAATAAATCATGGAAGAGCAATAAGCAGTAAAAAGGAATTTTGATATTCCCTGTATCTTAGAGTTTCTTTCTCCATGAAAAGAAGATTAGACAAAGAAAACCAACCATAGCCCCTACGCCAAACTGGGGGTACAGGGAGGATTTAGAAAGAGCTGAAAAATGAGCATTTCTTTTACATGTTTAGGGCCAGATGTGGAAGCTGCAGTTGGCATGAGAAGTCCAGTCTTTACATACTCCCCCCAGGATGCTTTTACCATGCCTTGGAGTCCCTGAAATATAGCTCTGCTTCAAAATCTTTTTTTTGGGGTGGGGGGGCGGTACTGGGATTGAACTCAGGGGCACTTGACCACTGAGCCACATCCCCAGCTCTATTTTGTATTTTATTTAAAGAGAGGGTCTTAATGAGTTGCTTTAGCCCCTCGTTTTGCTGAGATTGGCTTTGAACTCACAATTCTCCTGCCTAGGCCTCCCGTGCTGCTGGGATTACAGGCATGTACCATTTGTGCCTGGCTTGAAATTTTTGAACTAAGAAACTCACTAGAGAGGAGAGAGAGCAAGCAAGAACAAGAGCATGAGAGAGGAGAGATCTTGAAAGATACTAAAGGATTGTAGGCTTTCAGTTAGTTTTTTGGTTTCTTCACTATTTTTTGGTTTCTTCACTATTTGCAACACTTTTTTAAAAAATATCTATATACAAAGAAAGAACAGGTCTTACTGATGTTTAAGCTACTCATAGGAGTTGTATTGTATCTATCACCAGTATTCACATAATAAAGTTATGAAACCAATGATAGTAGCAATCACTACCTCTTTTATACCCTGCCCTCAAATGGAGGATTAGTTGAGATAATGATGTGTTTTATGGATCACATAAAAAAGATAAAAAATCTTCACACTTAAACCAGCAACCACATAGAAGGAAATGGAATTAAGAAATAAATTGTAATTTTTACAAAATTAAGCATTTATAAAATATCAGTAACTATGGAAAAAATGTTTTAAAAGTAGTAAAATGTGTTTCATAAATATTTAAATTTCAAAAACTAGTACTTTCTTCTTACTTTTTTGATAAGGGAATGGTTTAAACTGAAACTCACTTTTCAGTAAATATTGACTAGTATTTTACATTCATGCATAAATCTTAAAAAAATTACTTGTCAACACAGAATAAAACTACATAATAAGACTAACTTAGTATCTTGAAACTGATAAATTATTTCTAATGAATCAACAATGAAAACTGAAATCTGCCTTTACAAATCCTCCCCAGATTCTGAGTTTTCTAGCTGTCTATTAGTTCTGGCCTGACTTCAATTTAGTGTCCATATCTGAATTATACCTCTCACTTTATAGTGGATTCTTCCATATTTCATTTCACTTGGAAATTCATATCACCAAATCCAGTAAATCAAAAAGACTGATAAAATCCACCTGTACAAAATATATGTTCAGACTCTATTTGGACACCAGAGGGCAGAAGAATCACTTGAAGTGAAGGAATTTTGTAAATGTATCCTTGTGAATTTTCAGGCCTAATAAAACTGAAGATCATCCAGGTAAGGCTAGGAGTTTAGGCTTGACTTTTGGTCACAGGAAATACAGTATTCTGTCAAAACCAAAAAAAAAAAAAAAAAAAAAAAAAATGAAGGTAGGTGCAGCGTGCTACATCCCTACAGTGTTTAACTGAGTAACAATGTCAGCAGAGGTGACTTCTGGGAGAACCACTTAGACATCAATCTTAGTAACAACAATGATACAGAAAATATGAAAGTAAAGGTGATTTTTTAAAAAACAATATATTTTAAAATTTTAACTTAAGGGTAAAATAACTTTAGTAAACATTCTAACCAATTACAGAGAAAACAAATTATTCAACAATGCTTTTATTAAAGTAAGATACATTCCTCTAAATCATAATAAAAGATGACAAATGTAAGAAGGTTTCAGAACTACACTGAAACATGTACAGACAACAGCTCAATCCCTGGAGATACAACAAAGGTTCTGTTTGATTATTTTCATCCCTTTGAAAGTAGGACAGCAGAACTTATAATTTGGAGGTAGGTAGATCCAAATGTAATCCTAGTCTTACCACTTCACAAACTATGAGATCATGAACATGCATTATCCTCACTTTTTTTTCATACCCATAAACTTAAGGTAATGGTACCTATGCTATGATATTTTCTTAGAAATGTAGTGAGATAACATGGAAGTGTTTATCACTCCAAGTCATAAGGAATGTTCAATTATAATTTATTACTAAAATTTCTGAAAGAGAGGAAATAGTAGAAAGCATCACTATTTTGGGTGCTTTAAAAAAAGTGCAGATGAGAGAGAATGGCAAGAGATGATATAAAATCAAATGCAATTAATTTTAGGTAGGGCATTCAGCACTATAACTACAGGTGAATGTTAGAAAATAGGTGACTTATCACAGAATATCACAGAATAGAGAGAGCATACTCAACAACAACAACAACAACAAAATTCCAACCATATCCTTTTTCCTTCTGCTTTTTATGGCAACATGATATTGGGGAAATTATTTAATTATTCTGGGCATCATATTCCTCCTATATAATACAAGAGTGAATTATGTGCTCTCTATCATCTACTCCAGCTCTTACATTCTCAAATTTTACAAGTGTAGTCACTTGATATACTGTGAAACACAATTTCAATGATTTTATGAATGTAATTATTTAAAATGGTAAAGTTTGTTTAGGCAAAGCATGTTTGTGTAATAGGTTTCCACATCAGATATATGATGTTTCTAACCTCAACATCAGCATTCCAATTAAAAAATATAATGTAGAAGCAGAATAATAGCATAAGCAAATAAAATAAAATATTATTTAAAAGTGACTGAAGAAGTAAGGAAATAAAGGGTTTACACATCTATGAATTATTTTAGGTACTTCCAAATTTGTTTATAGTTATTTTGAGGGTTCAGCAGAAGAGACCAGCATGTTTTACATAATTCCACTGATGAAAAACACTCCTCATTGATATTTATGCTGTCTGATTTGGGGGGACACTTATTGTCATTTCAGAGAAATGGCTGTGTACTTTGGAGAGTTTTAAAAAATATGAGTTTTCTTTAAGCTGTGTATAATATTCACATCTCTTTCAGCCAGTGCTGGTAAACAGTGACAACAACCACCTTTGTAACAATGCTAATTCACATTAGCATTTCTAACTTACATTATAATCAAAATTAATGTAATCTTAAAAAATCATAGGTAATTATTTTGATTATTATTTTCCATTTCTGAGTATCACAGGACTCAATTGCTTTGTCTATGTATTCAAATAATTTGCTGTAATTAATGTGGATGATATAAGCACCAAATTCTTTCTCCTGTTACATCCAATAATTGGGGAAAACATTTGTAATGGCCCAAATTAAAATCAATGTGGCTAACATATGGAAATAACTAAATGCACATCAATAAATTGATGAATAACAAAAAGGTGAAAAAAGAGGTTTTATGCTAGGCAACAACATGAATAAACCTTGAGAACATTATGCTAAGTGAAATAGTCAATTACAGAAAGACATAGTTCCACTCATGGAAGGTATGGATAAAGTCACATTCATAGAATCAAAGTATGTAATGGTGGTTACCAGGGGTTGGGGAAAAGGGAAAGAGGGGAGTTACCATCACATGGATGCAAAGTTCTAGGTGACTAATATGAATGTGTTTTAGAGATCTGCTATACAACATAGTACCTGTAGCCAATATTAATGTACCATACACTTAAAAATGTAAGAGGGTAGATGACAGGTTGTGTTTTTGTTATCATCTTTTAAAAGAGAAAAAACAAAAGTGAATTCTGAAAATCACAATATTAATTGAAAAAATATTTTCACAAAACAGTTATTTCATCATAACCAGCCCCCCCCCCAACAAAAAACCCATCCCTGAATCAGATTTATATGAATTAATTATAAAAGGGAGAATAGAAATATTTAGTGTGGTTCCAAAATTAAGTTGCATAACAGGAAGATGGAAAGACAATTCAGAAAGCCTAACCAACAGCTAGTTCCTTCTTATGAATGAACATATGAAAAGGCAATATTAAATAGAATTTGAATGGTTAAGTCAACATTTTTTCTCAGAGATTTTGGTGATTATTTTAGACCCCTTGGTAGAAATATTGAGAAAAAGTCCTAAATTAAATAAAATTATTTTTCCTTTTAATATTAATTCAACTAACTGATCTTGAATTATTTAAATAATTTCAACTATTTTAATTCTACCAACAAAATGAAAAGTAATCTTCTGCTTACAATGTACAAACAGCACTACAAGTTCAGTTGTTTTTCTTTTCAAACAAATGCATAAATTATTACTTGCTTCATGTGTGCTTTAAACATGATTTATACTATTTGATAAGAATTTTGAACTCAGGGTTCTTTAAAATCGCCTCTTGTCTAAGAAATGAAGCAACAAAATAAAGGTGCAACAAAATAAAAAAAAAAGATTAACACATTACAAGAAGGAGGATAACTTAAACGGGCCATCATAACTGATGAAATCTTTTCAAAGTAGAAGTAGAAGCTAGAAGACTTTTTAGCTTTATGTGCAACTGTATGTTTGGAACTAATACGTATTTGGCATTTTCATCTAACTTAGAATATTTTTCACTCTAGATAACAAGTCATTTTAATGATTCTACAGACATACTTAGGATAAACTATACCTTGGGCCATAATCTACTCATTACAATGTAGTTCATCATTTCCCGTAGTATTTAAAATTCTCTACTTAAAAGAAATATGTTCAAGTGGAGGATGAAAATGTTAAGACATCACTGAAAATAAATAATAGCTATTTAAAAACCAACAGCCCACATTGTTGTGGGAGTAGTTAAGTTTATAATAGGACTAAGAATTGAATATGGGATTAGAAAAATAATTCAATTATTAAGTTGGATACATACTGTGCCAGGTCGGGGATAAGGAATTCTTCCATCATACTGTACCCATCGATGGTCTGCACTTTCCTTATGAGCATATGGACCATTAAAAACTGCTCTGATGTCAGCCATGCTATATACACAAACAGCAGAGCCTTTGAAGATGGAGCTGAAAGAAAGCAACATGATCCAGTCATTCACAACCATCCAGTGGGCTTTTATTTTGCACATATTGGAACAGGAGCTGTGGGGACAAATATATTTGGCAAATTCTAATTGACAGGTGATGCAAAAAAAAGGGGGTGTGCCTATGTCCTCAAAGAGCTTATGGCTAAGCAATCCTGACAAATAGGTGATAAGTCTCTTGTAAATAAATGTGTTAAGCAAGCACATGGATGTATACCCAGGCTATGGCTGTCACGTAAGTTTTCAGGGAGGAAGTGAGGTCTAAATTTTTATTTAAAATTATCTAGAAAAACTGGGGGATAGAGAAGAAAATGCAGAAAATGGTACTGTGTTTTTCTATATATCCTTCAATTTTATTTGAAGTTATTATAATATAATGCCTTATAAAGAGTTTAAAATATAAAAACTTGGGGCTGGGGATGTGGCTCAAGTGGTAGCGTGCTCGCCTGCCATGCGCGGGGCGCTGGGTTCGATCCTCAGCACCACATAAAAATAAAATAAAGATGTTGTGTCCACTGAAAACTGAAAAATAAATATTAAAAAAAAATCTCCCTCTCTCTCTCTTAAAAAACAAAGTTACATTATGTACTTTTAGTAAATATTTAGATGTTGGATAACAATCATCTCACATTTATCTTCCTTTTTGAAGTGAATGTTCAATTATGGTAAGCAAAATAAGCCAAACTCAGAACGTCCAGGGTTCTATATGTTCTCATGTATGTGGAAGCCAGAGAGGGAAAAGAAAAGGAAAGGAAGCAGGAGGTGGATCTCATGAAAACTGAAGGAAGATCAGAAGATTAGAGGAAAGGGGCCAGAGAGAGAAAGGAGGGAAGGAAAGGGGAAATACTGGGGAAAGATATCCTCCAAGTTATATCATTTATGTTGTATGTGTATATGAATAGTAACAACAAATCACACCATAATGTACAATGGTAAAACACCAATAAATATATGGCAAAAAATAGTGTTCATCATAAAGTTCACATAAGTTAAATAACTTATTCATATGATGTTTATTAAACTGATTTTTTAAATGTTTAATCTTTTTTTTTTCATTTTGCTACTTGAATTGAGATTTTATAGTTACCTATCTAACACTTAATTGTAATTACATAATCTCAGAGACAGCATTTATGAGAAGCTCCATAGGAATTCTACAAAGTTTTGCACACTAATGATATAAACTGTTAACACCATCAGATAATTCTTTTTTATTTTAGTTCTGGAAGTTACAGGATATTTTCTTTAAATTTCTTTGAATGATTTCTTTCAATGACTCCTGTTATTTAAAATGAGATCACCCTTTATGATCTGAGAAACTTATCACCTTTGTTTATTGCACAAACAAGCCAACAATTCTCTAGCATGAGTAACTCAATTATTAATATTCTTGGAATGACATTAATAGGAAACATCAGGAGGTAACGGTAAACAGGCAGTTAGGAGAAAACTAGCAGCTAAGAAGAGAGGTGATGTTCCCATAAAAATTACACATCTACTATGAAATCTTAAAAGAATTCTTAAAAGAATAATGCATCATGTTTAATGGCATTGGCATTATTGCGGGCTAATTATGTCTTCTTGCTTGACAAAGACATGACATACATTCTGACATTACCTCAGTCTTCAGAGCACCACTAAAAATAAAATAACAAAGAACACCAAGAACAGAGAGCTAACTTGTAACTTCACACTCTGGGTGGGCAGAAACTTGATAGGAAAAAAAAAAAGAACTATCTTGGGGCTACATTTCCCTGGCACATATTTGTGTCTTGTATATGAAGCACATATTGACTTCAAAGAAAGTTCTGTGAAAGGAAAGGTGCCAAGAGATCTAGGACTGAGATAATTGAGTAACTACAGACATTTTTTCTTCCTGCTTTTTTTTTTTTTTTTTTGCCTTCTACCAGGGATTGAACCCAGGAACAGTCTACCACTGAGCTACATCCCTGACTATGTTTATTTCTTATTTTGAGACAGAGTCTTACTAAGTTGCTGAAGCTGGCCTTGAGCTTGTGATCCTCCTACCTCAGCCTCCTAAAGTGTGAGGTACAATTGTATGCAACCATACTCAGAAGTCTGCATATTTTTATATTCATATATAAAGTAACAGAAATATGAATTCCAAAATAAAAAGTTCTTAAGCTATTTTCTTTATTCTCATGTTCAAATATTAACTTCATTTTATAATTAATCAAATACTATTTTGTTTTTTGATATATTCTGAACCATTAGAGAATTTCAGTTTTTGTAGAAGGTATTATGAATGAAATGAGGAATATTTCATAAAGAGGAAACCAAATTAGAACATGTATACAAAATAGTTTAAGGATATATTCAAAAGAATACACTAAAACCAAACAATATCATAGTTCTTCCAATATGCCTATCAACATACATTGAGAGCTGAGGAAAGAGTGAAACATATTTACAAATTCACAAACAGTAACATGTAACTGGGGCAAAAATATGCTTTGAATATTGTCAAATGTAGGTTACTCTTGAAATAAAATGAAGACAGCGAGGATCACTCTTCTTGGAGAAAGCTTTGTAGATGCTAGTACAATTTTTAAGCAATTCACAAAGTCTTGATAATGTTTAGAAGACAGAAAGAAGACAAGAATACAGGGATTAAAAATTAGAAAAATCTCTTCTGTTCTAGTCCTACTTTTACTGCTAACTGGTTATTCTTCTTTGGGTGGATAAAGCCAACTTTCATTGTTAAAGAAGTGAACAGTGACATGGTCCTAACATCCACACTCTCATCATTTTAGGTAGCAGGACATGCAAGTAAGACATCTTGTGATGTGATGAGAAGTTAAAAGTCAAGAGAATCCCATTCATGATTAATTAATCACAGCTTTGCCGGTGAACTTAATCGTTTCTCATTCATTTCTTTAGTGTTACTTCTATGTCCCTAAGTTTGTTAGTATTTATTATGAATAGTATATGCAGACATCTTTTGTACCCAGCAATTTTATGCTGAGAATTCATCTCAGAGATATACTTGTTCGCATGTGGAATGGCATGTTCTATGGTGCACGATGTGTGGCAGCAAAGTTCTAGAAATCAGGAACATACAGAGGGCTGCTTAAGTAACTTTAGTGACATAGGGGCTGCTATACTGGTTTAAAAAGAAGGAAGCAAGTTTTTATAGGGATATGAAAGATTTCTAAAAAACACTAAGTGAACAGGTAAAATGGAAAACATCGTATAGCATGTTGCTATAAAGAAAGAGACAAAAATCATATAACTATATGGGTTCACATACGTATATAACTTTTCTAAAAGGATTAAAAACATTTTTTTACATACCTTGTTGTGGTGAAGACGCCATAAACTACAGGATTTCTTTCATCTCGTGTGGGGAGTAAATAAATATCTTCTATTAATGGAAAAAAATAATTATTCAGTATATTTTAATTTTTAATATTACGTATATTCTTTTAAAAAATAATAAATATCTCTGAAACTCTAAACAGTGTACAAAATTAAGATAACAGAGTACTATACTGTCTCTTAGGAAATTAAGGGGAAATGCAAAGCTTATATTAAAAAGAGAAATTAAGGGTAAAAGTTTTCTCACTAGCTATGTGACATTGAGTTGAACATTTAACCTCTCAGTTGTTTACTTCAATCACATACACGAGGTGATCCAATTGATAATCTATGACTGTTTTCAATTATCAGGATGTGATTTCATATAAAATAAAAGCCAGAAAAAGGAATTTTTTACCCTCTAGTGTAAAAATGTGTTATACACTCTGTGTCAACTTAGTAATTCAACTACTTATTCAATAATAATATTAAAATATTGTTTGAGTAAATAGCACAATATTGGTGGTAGATTATTTGCAAGTAATATTTGGTAAAAGAGTATTTAAGAGGTGAGTGTATTTATATATTACATGAGAGATGGCCCATGCATATTGAATATACACTTTAATAGTATCAAACACATAATAATGATAAAGCAATAGATGGTATAGATAATTATTTTACACTGCATGGCAAATCTAAACAAGTTTGAGAAGATAAAAACTAATGAAGTGTAATTTATATAAAACTAAAATGTTCTTTCTAGAATTGGCTTCTAGAATTGGGAGAAATGGGGAATAGAAAAGTCTCCTAGTCTGTCCAGCAGAGGGCGTTCACATAATGAGGAACCTGAACTCTTCCTCTGTGTAGAAAGAGCCTTCCAAGGAAGGGAAAGGCTGCAGAAGGGATGGATAAATTTTGTATTCTGGGGACTTATATCTTCCTTTCACTTGCTGTAATTTTGTTTCCTTCACTAGTTTCTAGGACTCTTACAAAGAGAGGAGTTACTTCATGTAACTCCAGGCCTAGAGCACCCCATGTGCTTTGAGTTTGCAAATTTAGTAAGAACCATTCCTGTAAGCTGTGCTGAGTTACATATAATCAGGTATTTGGAGTAAAATATAACAAATGATGAATTGCTTAAATAGGTAGAAAGACTTTTCCAGGAAAGAAAGAACATATGACTTACGGAGCTCATCAAAATATGTATCGGCCCCATCACTTCCAGGAATGGAACAAATCAATCTGGCTTTAAGAAAAGTTGTCCATTTGTTTATCAAGCTGCGTTGTCCTCCTACATCATTCTGAAAAGTGAAAAAAAAGAAATAAAGATAAAATTTCACCAACATGATTCTGTCACCAACTATAACTGGTAGTTATTATTATTAATACAGGTGGTACATTATTAATTCTATTGTTTAAAAAATCATAGAGCCTGGATATTGAGTCTTTCAACTTCCAAATAAAGGAAAAGTCAGTTCTTTCCTTAAACCAAAGGTGATTTTCTAATGGTTAAAGGAATGCCATGAAAGCAATATAACTACTGAATGAGGAGATGCCTATAAGACTCTAGCAATCAAGGTAGGCTTGGGATCAAATCCTGTGTCTTCCAGTTTTTTCTCCCATGACCTACAAAAGATTAATTTACCCAATTACTTGTTTTCTCATCAATAAAATATGATTAATGAGATCAAATGGAAAAAAAATTGTATAAAATGCTTAACATAATGCCACGCAACTTGAGTGCAATAAATGCTAGCACTGATTGTTATTATTTCTATGATTAAGAAACATTTCCAGACTTTAGAAGAACTCTGCTTCTGTATAAACTTAAAAGTAGTCTTTTTCCAAATTTTGTGCATTTATAATTAAACATCAAGGTGACATAAATATATACATAATATGAATACACAGGAAAATGATCTTTTAAAAGATATTAGCCTATATTTTCCATAGCTTACTTTTGTTTTGAAATATTTTATTTAAAATGTTTGCTTAGGCATTTAGCCAAACAAACATTTTAATCGATTAAATAGAATAAGAACAATTGGGCTATTTAATAATCCAGCAAAAAAAGATTTTTAAATTAATTTTTAAATTAATTTTTAAATTAATATGTCCCTGTGAACATTTGATTATTATGATTTTTCATTTATCTGACTCAGCCAACCCTGCTATTCTTATAATAAAAGAGCAAGACTGATTCATGGAATAAATATACAATGTATTCAATTTCAAGTTTTAAAAGGTACTCTTGGAGCTACTTTTTCCATTAACTTATCTGTATTTAAATGTTATACAATTTTTTTTATCCTTCATTACATGATGTTCTATAAAGTTAATGAAAAGTTAACTGTCATGTTTTACATCTGAATATCTAGGAACTATCTTCTCTGTGCTTCTTTATCTCCAAAATAAACCAAATTAGAGAAAAGCATCCAAATGATAATTCTAAGCAAGAGAATTCAAGTCATACATGTACTTCTTATACCAAACAATAATTATTTTTTTTTAATTTAAAGACATGTGTTTTCAGTAAAATATGTCTTATATGAGCTAAAAATGTACATTTAACAAACATTTATCACACTTCACAGTTTGCACTTACTGTGTTAATTTTGCATGATTCCAAATCACGATAAATTTACACGTGGAACATGTTCAGCTCAGTTCATGTGTGCTGGGGACTAACCATACATATAAATGTCCACATAATATAAACATAATGACTAACAGCATTGTTTAGAACCAGCATCAACAAAACACTTTCCTAGTTGTAGTATTTTGTCACTGATTCTGAAGCCAGAATTAAAAGAGTGTCAGTGTAGATAGGTAAATCCAGTCAGATCAGATCAAGGAGGCCAATTTGGGTCTGGGAAGTTGGAGATTGAAATGCTAATGCCTTCAGAGCCCTTTCTCCACCCTAATCAAGATAACCTGCCCCTGCTCCAACCTGTTGCTAAGGGAACTAGTCTCAGGGATTGTCCCTACAGGGAGTTTTTAATTAGGCCCCCTTCCTGCTTGGCTCCTCCAGCCCATCTGCTTCACACCTTTTGGCCATCCCATGGAGCATATCCTGGGCCTAGTTTATATGCAGAAAGGAGAGAGATAAGGCAAAGAGAGCAGGAGAATAAAGGAAGCTTAGGACATATAAAAAAAGCAGAACACCCTCACTTTGGGGGATACCAGGATAACAGCTATGGCCTCCTTCTCCCTCTTGGGAGAAGTCTATGTTACTCCTTTTAAAATAAACCCTTCTTGGGCTGGGGATATAGCCCAGTTGGTAGAATGCTTGCCTTACATGCACAAGGCCATAGGTTGTAGCCCCAGCATAACCCCTACCCCCCCCAAAAAAAAAGTTAAATAAACTTGCTTATATGCTTGCCTCAGCACTGATAATTGGTGGTATCAATGCTGTTGCTGGCTTGTGGTGATAATAAAATGCATGATAGCTGCTAGTTGTGTTCCAGTAGTTTTTAATTCTCAACAGAAAATGCATTCCTTATTGTCTTAACTCAATGCTTACTCCAGATATTTCACTAATACCCTGCCAACCAATTTAATAAACACTTAATAAATAACTGAAACTACAAGTTAAAATCGGCAAAAGTGTTTTGAAATGAATAGAGAGCCAAGGAGAGCCTTTTCTGAAATTTCTTTAAATAGGAAAATGAAGAAAGGCTTCACAAAAGAGTTAGATTTAATACTAAGCCTTTATGATAGGGGGGCTCAGACTACATGTGTAGAGACTGGTTCAGAAGAAACTTCAGTTATTTAAAGTTAGGTGGAAAGAACAATGGGTCTAATATCCAGAACTCGTTGGGAGACAAATTTGGTTCACATGAAGACTGGGATCAATTAAAATAGTGAACAAAAATGTAATAAAAGTAAATTGGAGTAAGATCAAGGAAGGCTTTGATATCAGGCCAAAGTGTCTGTATGTTAATAAGCACATGATGAAGAACTACTAAAAGATGTAATGATTAGCAAAGAAGTGAAATAATTAAGAGTTTTCTTTCAAGGAAACTAAATGGTATATTATATAATGACCTGTAACAAGTATGTATGTAATTGCTCTTGAATTTTAATTTTGTGTATGGTGCTTCTATTATTTGGGTATCATTTCTCAGATACTATTCCATCTAACAACTGGATGATTTCAGGCATCTACAGAGGTGAAGACAGATTTTATCTACATATAGGTTATTTTTAGGCTCATATCTTCTTATCATTTTATCATTAAATTTAGATATTAAAATGAATGGGCAAAAATATTGATGCTTCCTCCTAATGTACTAATGGATTATGTGCTCATGTACAGTAGGAGTCCCATGAGAAAATGTGTACATACATTACCAGAAAGTAATGGATTTTTAAATGAATTTGAAAATACAAAGTGACTTATTTCTCCCTCATTTCATAATCCTTGATTTATATCTCTTAAAGTCACATCTCCAGCCTTTTATGTTTTGGCAATTCCCAAGTTGTTCTAAAACAAAGTCTTTATAAAATGTTTTTATCTTAATACATTAACTTTCCATATATATGTATGATATTATTAAATTTCCTTGCCTATATTTGTATATTTTGGAAGAGTTGGCAGTGAATACTAAAAATAGTGTTGATTCAATATACATAAAAATATATATGGTGATCATGAAAAGGATTATGTTTGATTTAGTACTTCACCCTAATAGAGAGTTGGTGCTTAAAATATTTTAAATAAATAAACATATACTTAGCATTCTGTTCAACAACATTTCTTTAACAGATGCAGGCAACACTAGTTCATCATAAAAATGAGTCATCAGGTTCTTTTAAACATTCTAGTATATAAAAGTGATGATAAATCTCATTTTCATACATTTCCCCCATTTCTTTTATTTTTTAAATTTTTTTGTAATTGTAGATAGACAGCATGCCTCTATTTTATTTATGTTTATATGTGGCGCTAAGGATTGAACCCACTGCCCCACACATGCTAGGCAAGTGCTTTGCCACTGAACCACAGCCCCAGCCCCATTTCCCCCATTTGTATTTACAATTTTCTCCCATACTTAATGGTAGCCATGAGAAAATTCTAACCTACTACCTCCAAATCTGTTGGATAAGAAAGGAATTTATACTACTCCTGTATTTTTTTAACCTGACAAATGAAAATTACAATCTTTCAACAAAATCATCTTCAAACATTCCTGCCTACCCAACCATCCAGCAGCCTTTTCCAGCCCCGCAAGAAGTAAAAGGATAAAAACAAACAAACAAAAAAATCCAGGTCAAAGATGAAAGCCACCTGCTGTCAGGAGGGAAGGAGAATAGTTTCTGGCATGAAGGCTTTTAGTAATAGGTTATAAGCATTTAATGACCAGATAGTAACTCTTGCAGACATCCAGAAGCCCGACCTGGGATGACAAAGTTCAATTCACAAGCAGTTGTATTTCTCCCCTAGGGAAGTCAGTTGGGCTGACTTTGTTGACCAGCTCTAGGTCCCTGGATTTGTTAGCAAATCCACACAATCTACCCCTGAGAACTTTAAGCCCACAAGGGGACTGAAAGGGGATAATCACTTTTGTACTAAATTGTCACCTCCTTGCTTATTTTTGTGAAGTTCTAAAGAATACAACCATCTCACCAATACAATAGATTTACTATTGAGATGTCAGAATCAGGAGCTCTTTAGTCACCAGTCACTTCTATGTGTCTCCACTCTATTTATCACACAGCCTCTTTGTGGCCAGGTTGCCAAAAGCCTTGACATCCTTTACAAAGATGCAGATGAAAGTAACAAAGAAATGAAATGTAAACAAGCCTGATCCCATGTGCTCTATCTGGGTGGTGAGTAAAGAACGCCTGCTTACTTTTTCTCTGTAGCTTTTACGTTTATGTTTGCAATGTTTCTTAATTTTAAAGTGACAAAAAAAAAAAAAAAGAAAATATAGTACCACCAAGTCATGTGATTGGATGTTAGCTGCACCTTATGAATTGTTATGATCTTCTAATTGTAGCATCTACTAACAGGTAGTCATGATGATGCTAATGGTTACTACATTTTCCTTCTACCAGCACACACAACTTCTTATAAATCTTACATGGACATGTAGAGTAGCTAGAGGCTGTCACACATGGACTTTTATTGAGTGTGTCTTTTGACCTCTAGGTCATGATTCTGGGTTCATCTGGTAAACATGGCTTTATCTGTATACACCATCCTTTTTGAGGCTTTCTCAGCACTTAACATTATTTTCAATTATACACTGGGAAACAGAAGCTGTTGGAAATTGTGATAATTGGCTTTAAATTTATA